AGGGTGACCTCACTGTTCTGTGGTTACCACCACTCAGCTCAGGTTGACCTCACTGTTCTGTGGTTACCACCACTCAGCTCAGGGTGACCTCACTGTTCTGTGGCTATCACCACTCAGCTCAGGGTGACCTAATTGTTCTGTGGTTACCACTCAGGGTGACCTCACTGTTCTGTGGTTACCATTACTCAGCTCAGGGTGACCTCACTTTACTGTGGTTACCACCACTCAGTTCAGGGTGACCTCACTTTTCTGTGGTTATCACCACTCAGCTTAGAGTGACCTCACTTTTCTGTGGTTACCACCACTCAGCTCAGGGTGACCCACTGTTCTGTGGTTACNTACCACCACTCAGCTCAGGGTGACCTCACTGTTCTGTGGTTACCATTACTCAGCTCAGGGTGACCCACTGTTCTGTGGTTACTACAATTAGACTGGCCTCATTGTTCTGTGGTTACCACCACTCAGGGTGACCCACTGCTCTTGATTTATGTATTTTATGTTTTTGATCACCACTCCAGATTTCATTAATAATGTACTAAAATGTAATAATGTTATTAAGGTGTGACCATGCATGTGCTCTTTCATTTGCTATGTTCAGTCAAAGGGACCAATTTAACCTAATATGTTATTTTTTGTGAAAGGATGTGTTGTTTTTATGGTATGCAGAACAAATTCATGGTGTATCATTCAGGTGTGTCATCAGAAATCTATAATCAATATTTGCTCTACTGATTAGATTATTATTTTCTCCTAAATTATAGAAGTGATATTTCTGAGAAAAATTTAAAATCAACATTTTACTACCTTTTTACAGAATTAATCAGAAAAATAAAAAGTTCCTTTTACCTTTTTCCACTTGGTAACATGTTATTTTCATAAATTTGACCATTCAAAACTTGCATAGCAAAAATCATCTTGCTTCAGTTAAAAATGGTGATTCATCAACAGTTTCAGTGATAAATTTTAGTACTAGAAATACACCTTTCGGATATTCAAAATGGTTGCCTAATTGGGTTTTTTAAAGCGTATAAAAAGTTCTGCAAACAATAGGTACCTAGTTTTCTGACACATTTTTCAGGTGCATGTAAACGTAATTAGCTTTTCAAATTGACCATTCGTTATATTTTATAAAAGCGAGATTTGATCGTGATTTCAGTGTTAGTGGTTACCTCTGGTGTCCAGGCCTTGGCCTTAATGCAATTGACCACCACTCGTTAGGGGAGGGGAATATGGATTACATTTGTCTTTTTTTTTAATTGGTGAAATATTCCTGTCCCACTGCATGAAAAACACGAGAGAGTTACCACTGTAGTTTGTATATGTATAGTAACTGAATTTTAAAAGTCAGTGGTTCAAATTAATGCTGGTCTGGCCAATTGCATTTTCACTCTCAGAACAATAAAAATTTACCACTCTGTGATCAGACCTCATCAGTTACCATTCTTGGGATGACTTTTTAAGTAAGTGATGATACCGATATAGTAAATGAACACTACATGTCAAAAATAAGAATTTTAAATGGCCTTAGAGGCATTGCGGATCTCAGATTACCCATTGAGTGCAAGTTCCAACTATGACAATTTAGATTGTGTATCATTTACAGGCCTCCACCATCTAAACAGAATGCTTTCCGAAATACAGTGTTTTTTGATGAATGGTCTACCTTTTTAGACCACCAAGTTGTTGTACCACAAGAGATTATTATCACGGGTCATAAAAAATTCCACTTAGACGATCTATCTAATGTTGACCCTCGCCAGTTCGCTGGTCTACTAGATTCCAGGGGTCTTATTCAGCATGTGACAGAAGCTACACACACCCATGCATGGCCACACACTGGATGTGGTCATAATGAGGGAAGATAACTCAGTCATTCATGGAGCTATTTCAGTGATTGATCCATGTTTAAGTGATGTAAAGGGGAACCAATCTGGTGATCATCTTGCTGTCCACACAAAACTGAATTGTAGTAAGCCAGCTCGTGCAAGGAAAGAAGTGAGCTTCCGGAAATTCCGTGAAATTTCAATACCAGATTTCAACAATGACATTCAGTCTTGTTCCGCCCTTCAATCTACTGAAGGCGAGGTTGATGATCTTGTTGAAGCATACACATTTGGTATAGAAGCCCTTATAGAGAAACACGCACCTCTGCAAACTAAGGTGATAACTGTGAGACCAAATGCCCCGTGGTATAATGAAAATCTCCGCGTGGAAAAACAGAAACGTAGACAAGCAGAGAGACAGTGGCGACGGACCAAATTCACCGTTCACCAACTGATTTATAGAGAGCAATGTCGGCTAGTTGGTTCACTGCTCTTTCAGTCAAAGAAGGCTTATTATTCGGAAAAAATCGAAGGATGTGGCAAGGATAAAAGACAACTTTTTAGACTCACCAAAAACCTAATGGGACAGAAAGGTGAAATTATCCTACCAAGCTGTAATTCTGAAAAAGACTTAGCAAGCAAGTTCAGTGATTACTTTCTGAATAAAATCAGCTCAATCAGGAAAAATATTACCGAAGTGAACACCTCTGCTGACATTGACATCTCTGTCATGACTGCTGACATTGCATTTGATGGGGAACCATTGACAAAGCTCTCACCAACAACCCAGGACGAGTTGCGCAACATTATCATGACCTCGCAATCGAAGTCCTGTGAGCTTGATCCACTGCCTACAGACCTATTAAAGCAATGTCTTGAAGCACTGCTTCCTTTGATTACCGCAATCATGAATAAATCATTGGTTGAGTCAAAGGTTCCATTATGTTTCAAGAAGGCACATGTCAGACCATTGTTAAAAAAGCCTGGAATGGACAAGGAGGAGTTGAAAAACTACCGCCCAGTTTCAAATCTGCCTTTTCTGTCTAAGATCTTGGAGAAGGTTGTGTCCCGGCGTTTAGAGGTTCATCTCCATGCAAACAGTCTCCATGACAACATGCAATCGGCCTACCGCATGGGACACTCTACTGAGACGGCCCTCCTACGTGTACATAGTGATATAGCTTCTGCATTGGATAACAAGTGCAGAGCGGTGCTTGTCATGCTGGACTTGTCAGCTGCATTTGACATCATCGACCATGGCATACTTTATAAACGTCTGGAATACTCTTATGGAGTGACTGATACCGCACTATGCTGGATACAGTCATACCTGAGTGAAAGAGGACAGTGTGTGTCATCGGATCTGCCACCTCACATGACAAAAGTACTAGATTTCGGGGTTCCTCAAGGGTTGGTGTTAGGACCACGAAAATATTGTATGTACTCCAAACCGATTGGAGAGATTTGTCGTCGCCATAGCCTTCAGCCTTCGCTATCATTGCAATGCCGATGACACACACATTTACATGGTCATGAAACCACAGGACAGTTGGAATACAGTCTCAGAAAGTCTGGAAGCTTGTCTGACAGATATCAGTATCTGGATGAACGCCAACATGCTTAAACTTAATCAGGAAAAGACGGAACTAATCGTCTTTTCCCCAAAGTGT